ATTGAAAACCAATTTACTGTTTGCTTTTGATGTTGATGCTTTAGAGAGCTTTCTGATCCTACGTTTTGCATTATTTCATGATGACACTTTTACTCAAGAAAAATATTGCAAAGTCTAGCTTATGGATAAAATGAATCAATTTGTAACTTAGAAATAGCTGGTCCTGTGCCCAACAAAGAATGACTCCAAATGGACAAAGAGCCAATACAGAGATGTTTACTAAATTGGCATTAGGTTTCACTAGTATTACCAGATGGACTGATTTTAAATGCTATTGATGGCCAATAAGAAGCAGCAAGACGTTAAGGAAATGAGGGGAAAGGTTTTACATTTATCACAGTGACCACATTTGAACATTTGAGTAGCAATTAAATCATATTTATTGCTCAAGGTACATAATGACCTCTAACGTCAGTTATCAGTAATGTCCCTAACTTGGGCCATTAGCTGTGAGTCAAATATGGTGTTCTGGCTTTAAGCATCATTATAAATTTGGAAACATGTATAGACTGCATGGCCCAATAAAAAGGGCCTAGTAAAAAAGTATATTTAAATTGGGCTCTCACATTTACATAAAAGCCCCCTTTAGAGCTACACTAAAGCAGTGTTTCTCAAACTTTAAATATGTATGTAAATCATCTGGGGATTTTGTTAAAATGTAGATTGTAATTAAATAAATCTGAAGTGCGGAGTCTGAGATGCAGCATTTCTACCAAACCCACATGTATGCTGATGCTGTTGGTCCCTGGATCAACTTTGAGTCACAGGGCCTTAGAATATTATTGTTAGAATGTGGAAAAAGCACATGTGTGCATAGGAAGATGCTTTGTGAATGGCAAAGTAGCATACATAACACTTTACATTAACAATAGTAGAGGATTCAATTCATCAGGAAAAGTCCTAGTAGAACAAGTTATGTTTAGATATTGTTCAACTTTTCTTTTAAAAAAAAAAAACTGGGAATTAGAGAGGCAGAACAAGAGGCATATTCATCCTAAACAATGTTGTTGCTTTTTTATTGCCTTGAAGGATTCACTTCTTATCACTATCCACCAAAAATTGGAGGGGGAGGGGGAAACTGCTCTGGTTTTGTTCTTTAGAAGTTTGTACAATTAGACCCAGTCCCGGATACATCCTAGAGATTGACTTAATCCAAGTAAAACAGAAATAGCAAATTACAAAGAAGAGGAATATGGTTGGCTCCAGGAACACAGGCAGCAACAAAAAGGGATCACTGCTGGGGGAAGAAATTAAAAGCTAGTGACATCAGACACAAGAACAGAGACTCGGAGCTGTTTAGACCCAGAGCTTTTTAAACACTTAGCTTCCCTTACTGAACCTGTTGTTTTTTATTGGTGTTTGCATTTTCTAAAGGAAATGAACAAAATTCACAGGCATAATCATCATTTCTGTGTTCCTTATCTAAAGTACAATCAACAATTCCCTGTTGGAGAAAACATAGACTCTTTCTGAGTTTCCAGTCCTACAACATTTTGGCCAATATGTTATTATTACATAGTCAGTTTGTTGCACTATATGAAAAAGATTTTTATCACATATTAGAGAATGCAAAGCAGTCCCCTCCCATGGGCTAAATCATTCCCAAGCTTTTACATTTTGGACAGGATGACTCTCTGTCACAGACGCAGATTACCAACACCTTACTTGTTCCCATGGTGAATCTCTTTACAACAGTTCTGGAGCCACCATGATTACAGAGTTAGAACTCTGCTTCAGAGAAACTGAATTTTCATCAGTCTGACTTTTACCTAAATTTTATACTTTGTCTTCCTACTTCCATCTCTGTTTATCCTCTCTCACTTGCTTATAGTGAAAGGCAGTATCATTCACAATCCAAAATGCCATTATTAAACAAATATGCATGAATGAAAACTTAGTTTAGTGCCATCAGAGAGAGAGAGAAAAAGAAATGACAAGGCTGAAATGTAACTGTCAATGTGTTTGGGCTTTGTCATTTCTTTAAAAAATAAATCGAAAGTGAAATACTAATACCAATTACTAACAATTCCTCAGCCCAGTCAATATCATGTCATGAAGCCATTTAAATGCAAAATAGCTATTGAGAGATTACTCTGAAAGCATTCAAAATGTGGATATTTGAGAAATATTTAAAGACCACCAGAACTATGCTCTGGTAAAATATTGACACACCTGCAGATTGTTTTTTTTTCTGTAACTCTGGGTAATCTGGGTAATCTAGGTCAGCTGCCCCAAGTAGGCAGCCTTATATTTAGGCAGCTCTTCATTCTCCAGCCGCTTTACCTAAGAAAACCTGAAGCTTTGAGGCTGACTGAGCAGCAGTTCCCCTCAACAGAAACACTTGTGTGGTGCATCAGGAGTGGTTTTAAATGGTGGAGATAATTACTTAATTTGAGCTGTAGCAACTGGCCAAGTAAACATGCAGCAGCCAGAAAGCTATTAGCATGATTTTAAGGCAATTATTCCATTAGTGTTTAATAGTCTCCAATTAGTCTTCTCTGACTATCAAAGTTTGAATATCTTTTTTTCCTCCAAAAATTCTCAGTACTGAGTAATGTAAAAAGGTACCAAACCTGCTTTTAAACCTGGTTTTATATGTGTGGATCTTCCAAACCAATTTACACAAACGTGGGGGTATTCAGGAGTATAGATTTGATGAAATATGTTGTGTCTATTTATTCTCACAAGTATTGGAGTGAGAAGGGGAAGTTTTACAAGGGATCCATTTTTGTATAATACCAAAAGGAGTTGGGAAAACAATATAAATTCCCATGGAAGCCCAATGCCATCATCTTTATGCCTGTACTCTAAGATCGCCCAAATACCAAAGTCTTTCACCTCAGGTTTCATTTTGTCCCAGGGGAGGAAAGGAAAATTACTCTGTTCCCACGAATGCTTCGTTCCTTGTTTCCTAACCCTGGTTAGTCATAGTTGATGCTGAATCATCCAGATGCAAATCACAAAGCCTTTCCCTCCAAAATTTTTAGAGTATCTTCCCAAAGGTCCAATTAAGGGGTAAGATCCCTGAACTGATAGGGATAGATAGTAAGTCCTCGCTTAGCTTTAGTTTTTTCATCTGTGACATGGAGGCAATAGGGCCCACACTGCCTTCTTCATAGGGTTTTGGGAGGATGGTGTGAGCTTGTGTATGTAACAAGCTTTGAAAAGTGATATATTGCAGAAATGTAAGGTAGGTTCAAAAAGGTATGATACATCTCTCAGAACTAGACAAGAAAACTTAGGCTTTTAACTCTGCATTTCTAGAGAGTCACCTGCCAGAAGGTTTGCATCACAGTGATCGCCCTTCTTAACTTCTATGCATACAAAACATTCAGGGGAGACTGTGAAAGCAACTGTCTAAAATCCAAATAACAACAAACGAAGAAAAGGAATGGGGATGACTGTGGAAGTGAGAGTGGAGCTATGCCCAAGTTGTGCTTTCTACTGTCTCCTTAAAAAGAGCAATCCTCAGGTTCACCTAGGTAGCAGAGTAAGTGCAGCATGGAGAAGCTGGGGTTGGTTCTTTTCCTTGGAGATCCCTGGCTTGTAGGAAGCTATCTGTTGAAGAAGGACAAAAGGAGACAACCCCTTCTGTGGATAGCACTTGTAGTGCAGCCTGTGCCTGCCATTGCTGCCAAACATCTACTTGACTAACAACCATTCATCTGAGCGACAACTGATCAATGGCAGCACTGTTGGTGGGAGCATCTAGTGATTTTCAAAATAACCCTTCTTTTTTTGTTTTTGTTTTTGTTGTGTTTTGTTCTTTATCATGTTTTCCCCCAATAGCTGAGAGGGGGCGCTGGATGGGGCAGATCAAGAGGAGGTAAACCAGAAGGTTGAATTTATTAACCCAACTCAGCTCAGGGCCAGAAGTGAATTGTTCATGAGTAATTTGCCCTCCAGCCCAGCTCTGAAAAGATCAGGTGTGTGCTCCCCCAGCCCAACTGCATAGCCAAATTGGTAATGAAGTATGACCATGTTCCCAGCTGTCATTGTTGTAAACTGTCCTGAAACGACCCTCCCTCTTGGATACCTGAGCTAGGGGTTGCTAGGAACTCCTACCCTAGAAACCTGCCCAGTCTCTTGTCCAAGTCTCACACGTCAAGCTGAAGCTTCTTGATCCCTCGCGTCTCTTCCTCGCTTTGTCCACGCTTCCTTCCTTCTAGGCTGTCTGGACACATTCTCAGTCACCTTTCCCCTACTATTTGCCTATTAATCCCACCCCTCCCCTCCAGGACAAGCAGGGTCCCCTGCCCAGCTTCTGTCCCGAGCAGCAAACGCAAGATCCTCAAGGGTTTGCTTTTCTCACCTGGCGAAGTGTGTTGCTAACACGCACTTGGACCAGACCGGTCCACTTGGCCAGCCCCCCGGGGTCACGCCGATACAAAACGGTGCCCTCTGCCCGTCGCCCCCTTGGGCTCCTTTTCAAGGGCAGCTATCACGCCGCCTCCAGTCCCTGAACTTTCATCACTCTTCGGGAAGCGCTTTGTCTTTTTAAAGGAGATTGGGGACGAATATTAATGGCTCTAGCTGAGAATCTATCAATCCACTCAATTCCGTGCCAGGGATGGACTCAGGTCCGTGCACTGGAGCCGAGCCCCTGACACTAGCTAGCGTTCACCGCACACGGTCACCCCACAGACCCAGAAATTGCTCCCACTCTCCTAGATCTGCAGGGAAAACCACAGAAGGGGGTCACGAGGCACCATCCTGGAGCCCAGCTTCTCCTCTGCCCCAGTCCTCCGCACACAACCTGCTTCCAGAGCCCAGGAGAAAAGCAGTCACCTTGACTCTAGCGCCTCGGTCCTTAGAGGTTTGGAAAACGCCAGGAAGCCAAAGGCTACCAGGCACGCGCTCGCCTGGCCTGAGACCCACCCTGGAAGACGAGTTTCCCTCCCGCGGGCATCGTGGCAAGTTACCACTTAGTGGCAGATAAAGCAGGGCGGGGCAGGTGGAGCGGGCGCCGAGCGCCTAGCCGGCAGCCCCTGCGCGCCTACCTGGAATGGCTAAATTGGTGAGGGGGATGCTGTGGATGCTCTCCGGCAGAGTTGCCATCCAGTCGGCTAATTTCAGCTCGTTTTTCCCCTGAGACGAGGCCATCGTGCTAGTCGGCGTGCAGCGCGCTGGTCCCCGCACTCCACGGGCAGGTTGGCAGGCTGCTGCCGCTAATCCAATGTTTGCTCCAGCCCCGCTAGAGTTTACACTCCTCTCTGCGCCACACCCACAGGATGGCGCAGACACATGCTAATTTTAATAATTATTCAAAACACCCCATGCTCCCTTAGTGCTTTCGCCAGGCTCCGCTGGAGCTTTTGTTCCTGACGTCCGTGATCAGCTCTCTCCCCTCTCCCCTCCCTCCCCAACTCCCTCCTCCCGTCTTATCCTTCCTAGGCGTCTCTCTGCCTTTCCTCGCCATTCTGCAGCTTTCCCTGGTTTCTTATGTTTCTTTCCTTTTCATTTTTTTTTTTTTCAACTCCTTTGCCCATGACTTGCTCGGTTCTTTGGTGTGACTTTCTCGTCCTGTTTGTATGCAAAGACAGTCTTGCAGTTGAACCTAAAATCCTGGTAGACTTTGCGATGTTATTACCTCCCAAGGAACCGACTTCTCATGCTGGCTTTCAGGGCTTTCCATCCCTATCAAAGAGCTTTCCTTTTTGTAATCTACAGCAGGTTATGCCTTTCCTCAGCCAGAGACCACAACCCTGTTTATTAAAAAATGATTATCTTTACTTACTCTTTTGCCTACTTTGTCCAATAGCTGATAAGTGTGGGTCAATGAAGGGCATGGTAAATTCTAGGTGGTTCCTACTTAATCCTGGGTACCTTGCTCCAGACGTTTCAAAGTCAAGAAATGCTACTTCCGCTTCTTTTCTCAGATCATGAGAAGTCTATGTTATTTCTATGGAGAACACTATCTCTGACCTGTCAGTTTCATGGCACTCAGGGTAAGACTGGAGCCTTATGCTGGAAGAAAATCACCACATCTCCCAGTGACATGCTCTAATTATTGCCAGTAGCATTTGGTGGAATCTATTTGGCACCATTCAAAGTGATCTATGTGACTGTCTGGATTTTCATTCCTTTGCAGACTGGAAAGATGTGCCTCTCTCAAGAGAAATCACTCACTGCATCTCCAAAGAACTGTCTGGGTCCACCTGCTCTCAGATGAGTAAAAGGAAAGAGATGAAGTTTTGCAAATATAATGAGATCAGCGGTTGCCTGAGTAGGAATTTTAGGAGATGAACTAAAAGTGTGATAGGCCTTTGTAACCTAGGAAATGGATATGCAATAAAGAGACCTCTGTTCTTTCATGCCAGGATTGTGTAAATTTTTATTTTTCTATAGGAAATGCTATTAGACTGGGGAAATGACAATCAACATAGGAGAGAGCGAGCCATGAAACATGAGAATAATTATTTAAGGTTAGTAAATCCATTTAATCCCAAATAGCATTTACAAAAAAGAAGAAAAAACCCAGAGCCTAGCTTATTTTCTATGAAGATGCTAAGTCCAAAGAATATTCACCCACAAATGGGGAGAACTATGGGAAAGAGAGAGAGGGGAGAGATAATGCCTTATTTTGGTGATCAAATTTTCCATTCTCCTTATAAAGGAAATTCATACCTTCAAGAGGACCTGGTACAGTTATCTTTAGTGATGAGGAAGAGATGTACTGAAAATTTTTCCCCAAATAAATCTTAATATACGTGCTAGTTCAATAGAGCCCATGCATCCTTTTAATTAGGATGATAATTTAGCTTATTATAGGACTCTTGGTCAAGGCATCTACAAACACCACCCTTCTGCAAGAAACCTACAAACATCACCTAATGCTGGTGATCTCTGGGCATAATTGCAGGGTAGTGAGGAAAGTTCAAATCTAGCAGTCAGCTGCTCTGTCTCTGAGTAGTTTGGGCAGGTCTTCTAGTCTCTGCCAGCCCCAGTTTTCTCCATTATACAATGGTAGTAAGAACTCAGAGATTTGTGGTGAAGCTTTCAGAAGAGAGTGCATATATGTTTATTAAGATAACAGGATATGTGTATTTACCACTCTTTGTCTTTTCTACACTTACAAAGTATTTTTTCCAAAAGCATGAAATAATTATTGAACTGGGGTATATTTTTAATAAGACACATTTTAGAAACATGCCCCGTTCAAGTATATTGAGCTTATGTGGCCCTAAAAGTTTACAAAGCATTTTTTAAAAAATGAAACCACCTTAAATGGTGAAGAAACTTCCCTCTGTAAAGAATCATACTGTCTTTTGGCAAAACAAACAAACAATCCCTTCACTGTTTTATCTGATTTGCACTTCAGGATTTTAAATGTCTTGGTTTAACACAAGTTATTATCATTTTCTACATGCAACCTTTGAAAAAAGACAGGCCTGAAAGTTGATAGTTATAAATTTCTTTCCCAGTCTTATAATCAATATTTTGGGCAATTATGTGACCCTGTTTCTCCATCTTTCCATCACCAACCCTGCTGACATTTACTAAATCACATTAGGAAAATTATGTAATTTCTCTGGGCTTTAATTTTGTCACTGGATTAATCAAGGTTCTCCAGAGAAACAAAAGCAGTAGTATACATATATAGAGAGATTTATTTTAAAGAAATTGTCTCATATGATTGTGAGAACTGGCAAGTCCAAAATTTGTAAGGCAAACCAGAAGGCTAGAACATCAGATAAGAATTGTTCTTGCAGTATTGAGTTCAAAATCTGTAGAGCAGGCCAACAGGCAAGGAACTCAGGAAGGATACCTATGTTGCAGTTTTGAGGCAGAATTGCTACTTCTTCAGAAGGCTTTAGTCTTTGTTCTTAAGGCCTTCAACTGATTTAATGAGGCCCACCCACATTATAACAGGTAATGAGCTTTACTCAAAGTCAAATGATTATAAATGTTAATCACATCCACAAACACCTTCACAGCAACATCCATACTAGTATTTGACCAAGCAATTGGGCATCATAGCCTAGCCGAGTTGACATATAAAATAAACCATCACATCCACTAGCAAATTAACTAGAAGTTACTATCAAACTCTATGGCCCCCTTTGACTATTATTCTATAATTTTGTTTGCTTTCTGATACTTTATCATATTATATACCTGCTGGAAATAGTGAAAGGAGGCATGTAATATTTACTTTCAACTTTTAATTCATGCAGACAACTCAAGATATGGACCAACGTTTTTTCCCCACAAAACAAATGAGAAAATACCAATGGTTTTTAATTATGGCATTTATGGTAGCCTATCTCTGAAAATCAAATCTTTTCAGTCATAAATGAAAAGAGGAAAAGCACTCATTGCAGTGGCTTCATGCTACCACCAAAAGTTGTTTGTGTAATGATCTGCTATCCATCAAATTCATACCATGCAAAGTTGATGAACATGCATACTCATCTGGAGCATTTTCTCACTTCATATCCTCTTTCACTCATAAAAATACATGACTCTTTGCTATGTACTTTATTCCATTAGTTCATAATCTTTCTTAATCTTTGGAGATATATATTTTATATATTTTATTTTTATAACTGAATTGATTTTGAATTATGTTCTGAAAAGCAAGGCTTCTTATAGGTCAGAAAACTTCAGAACATATTTTAGTTGAATAATATTTTAAAAGAAGAACATTGTCTAAAACAATTCAGTCAAATTATTTTTATAAACACAGTATTCTAAAATATACACTTAGAGTCAGACTTAAAACACACCCAAAAGGACAATAAAGAACCTTTGTGAAATTGACTATTAATAATCTATTTTTTACCATTCCCTAAGTTGTTTATTTAGATATTTCACCTAAATCATTTGACTGTGTTTTAAAGACAAAAAATGTTTTTTTGCTTAAATTTAAAGTGGAAAAAATAGTGATGACCTTCTCTTTCCGCCACCGGTTTAACCCCGCAGAGTTTTCTGTCTTATCCCTCTTGTCCTCCCATTTCTCTCTTGTCCTTCCCTTTTATATGTCAGCCCAAAACAAGGTAATTTACAATCACTGCATGTAATCTACTGGCTAGAATCACCAGCTATGGAATCTGGTGATTCAAATCTAGGTCTTCCCAGTCAATTACTATGCATTTCTTGGTATCTTTTTCTGAAGTATAAAGAATGATTATTTTCTTTTGGAGGTGGAGAAATGGAAGATGCTATGAAGCTTAATAAAGTAAGGAAGGCAAAGTTTATTGAACAGACTGGAAGACCAAAAATTATACTTTTACATATGCTTCTTCTTCCCACTGTGACTCTGCTAGTGCACATGAAATGAATGTACTTCATACTTCCATCTATCAAAATTCTTTCCATTCTAACCAACTCCTCTTTGTGATTTCTCTTACTATCCATAAGTAGATCTAATTTTTCTTAATCTCTGTACACCCATTGTGGTTTGCTTACAGTATTGTATCTCTCATTCCCTAGCTAGTCTTAAAGCATTATGTAGGCAGGGATGGTGTCATGTGACACTCTCTAATGTCTTTCACAGAGCCCAAGACATAATAAGGGCTCATTCTAATCATCCATTTTACTCACTTATTTCATAAATATTTATTGAGTGTCTATTATGTGCTCTGTCTCAGAAAGAAAAAATACAGCAGCAAGTCCCCAAACTCTTTTAGTTGATGCTTCAGGCAGAAAGTGGCAAATAATAGCTTTATGGCTCAATAAATAAATGACTTCATTGTATCTCTTATCTTAATGGCAAAACCCTAATTTTGCATGCCTATTTTTAGCACTTCCATAAGTAGCAAAGCACCAAAGACTGACACCTTAGTTTTGAAAATACATTTTAAAAGAAAAATTGCTTCAGATTTGTTCTGTCTCTCTACACTGTTTCCCTTAATATTTCCCATCTCTATTGCTATCTTCCCTAATACGATAGGGAATAAATGTGGAAATAACATGATAAACTCTTCTAGATCTCAAGGGGTCATTAATACAAAATGTTTGATTTTTCAGAGCTTGGGGATTGGTGGGGTGGGAGTAGCCTGGGAAGGGAGAGAGAAACTGTTTTAAATTCATGTGCAGAGTAAAAAACAATCCTGGAACTATTCCACTCATCACTGCTAAAAACTTAGGAACATCGTACACCAATGCTTGTAGCAGCATTATTCACAGTTCCCAAAAGGTGGAAACACAAATTTTCATTGGCAGATTAATGGACAAACAAAATGTGGTATATACATACAATGGGATATTATTCAGCCTTAATAAGGAATGAAATTCTCATACCTGCCACAACATGGATGAAACTTGAAGACATATGCTATGTGAAATAAGCCAGACACAAAAGGACAAATATCATTCCACTTATATGAGATACCTAAAATAATCAAGTTCATGGAGACAGAAAGTAGAATAATCGTTATCAGGGGCTGGGGCAGGAAGAAATAGGAATTTTTTGTTTAACAGGTACAGAGTTTCAGT